AATTCGAGCTTGTGTAAAATGCCTCTTAGAGGAAAGGTGGTAACAACCGAGATATGGTGGAACTGGAAATATGGTTTAAGTTTTCGTGAAGCTATGACAAGTGTCAGGGCCAGTTTCTCGAGGTGTGGGTACCTCGTCTCGGCGTCGATGAGTGTTTTGCTAATGTACTAAATGGCAGATACGCCTTTAACTATCGCAGAGCTTGTACATATTCGGGCGACCACTTAAGGCTGTTATCTTTTTTTAGTATGCCGAAAAATTGATGACATATGTCAGACGACCATACTATAAATCTCGATAGGACGGTGATTCGACCGGTCTACCTTTGGACTTGCTTTTTAGTAGTCAGTTGCTCCGATATCCCTTCAATAGCTTTTATTTGGTCTGGGTTGACTTCTATCCCCCGTTGTGACACTAAGAAGCCCAAGAACTTTCTCGAGGCTATGCCAAACGCGTATTTCTCTGGGTTTAGTTTCATTCCATACCATCTTAGTATGTCGAACGCTTCCTTGAAATGGTTGATATAGTCCTCCACCTTTATAGACTTGACTAGCACGTCATCGATATATACCTCCATGGTCTTGCCGAGCTGAGCTTTGTACATTTTAGTGACCAATCTTTGATAGGTTGCTCATGCATTCTTCAGCCCGTATGGCATGGCCCTGCAACAATATATTCCTCGGTGGGTGATGAACGTGGTTTTATCCTGGTCCTCTTCTTCTATAAGTATCTGCTTATAGCTTGAGTATGCGTCCAAAAAATTTAACAGCTCATGTCCAGCTGTTATGTCGATGAGTTGGTCGATATATGGTAATGAGAACGAATCCTTCGAGAATGCTTTGTTCAAGTCCGTGAAATCTACACACATCCTCCATTTCCCATTTTTCTTTTTGACCATCACTATGTTGGTGATCCACTTGGGGTATTTCGACTCCCTGATGGAACAATTTTCTAACAGCTTCTCCACTTTTTTGTGGACGATATCGTTGATGGCGGGGTTGAATTTTTGTCTGACTTGCCTTATCAGGGGGAGGGGGGTAGAATGGATCGACGTTTAATTTATGTGTGGCATTCTCCTTGGGGATGCCCAGCATATCTGCATGGCTAAAGGCAAACAAATCCACATTAGTTATTAAATATTGACTAAATTTACCTAGCTCTCGGAGTTTGCAGCCGATGTAGGCCTTTTTGGTGGAGTCGCTGAGGTCTATTTGAATAGGGTCGAGGTCCTCTATGGTTGAGTCTGCGACTTCAATCGTTTCGGGGTCCATGATGACGTCCCTAGTTTCTTTTTGCGTTGGCCTCGACCCTGTTGATTGTTATGACTCTTTTTCCTTGTCTTTCTTCTGTTGGGTTGTCGTGCTGTCTAAGGCGATGCAGTAGCATTCCCGGGACATGCGTTGTTCTCCCTGTATGTTGAATATCCCCCAAGGTATTGAGAATTTTATTACTTGGTATAAGATAGAGGAACAGATCTTATGGGATGTATCCATGGTCGTCCTACTATGGCTTTGTATGCGGTGGCCTGGTCCATGATGTGGAACGTTGTCTCTAGAGTTATGAGCTGGCCAAGACGGGGAGGGTAATTTCACCCGACGTCCGTTCAAATGCATTATTAAAACTAATTAGTGTGATGCAGCGCGTCGCTATCTTGTCCTCGAGTATCATCTGTGTGAGGACTCGGGGATGGATAATGCACACTCCACTTCCGTCGTCTACCATGATACGTTTGACATCAGTATCAAAAATTCGTAGAGTAACGAGGAGAGCATCATTTTGAGGGAAAGTCAAACTGTTCGCATCTGACTCGTCGAAGATGATACTTTCTTCACGTCCGTCATACCATTATTTGGTGATAGAACTTTTAAGCTTGTGAGTAGTGGTGAATTTGACGGCGTTGATGGAGCCATCGTCGCTACCGCTGATGATCATGTTGATGGTGCGAGCTGGTGACGACGGCTTTGGCAGACCTTGGCGTTCACGACCTCTGGCGAAGTTATTTCTTTCCTTGTCGCTCAGCAGCTCTTTGAGGTGTCCGTATTACAACATGTTCACAACCTCTTGCCTGAGGGTGATGCAGTATTCTGTCTTGTGTCCGCGCTCCTGGTGAAATCCGCAGAGGGCATCAAATTTTTTGGTGCTCAGGTCGGACCTCATCTTCGGCGGCCACTTCACCTTCGTTTCGAGTTTTTCCAAGGCATAGACTATTTCTGTAGGTGACACGCAAAAATTGTGAGTAGACAATAAATGGGCATACCTCTCTCGTTTCGGTGAGTCCCCGACCTCAGCCTAGATGGGCCTTCATCATAGCGGAAAGGAGGTGGAGCGGGGGCCCTGATGTATGGCTACTGTCGTTCCCTATTTGTTCGTGAGACCGGGTGATCCCTCATTATGGTATCTCTTCGGTCCTTCCTGGGTTTGACTTATACCGAGACAAGCCGTCGAGTTGGTCCGTTGAGGTCGTCGTCAACTGCTCGGACTTCAGCACAGTAGGCATTGTGGATTTCACCCCAAATGGTTGGAGGTTACTTCATTAACCAGCTCAGCAATTTTCTGGTCGCTCTTGAGCCCTCTCTACTCAACCCATTTTGAAAGGCCGCGATTGCCATCCCTTCAGACACATTTGGTAGGGTCATCCATACCCTATTGAATCAGGCGAGGAAGTCTCTCTCCCAAGGACTGCTTGATGGCGAAGATGTCATTTTCTCTTTTTTCGGCCTTCTTGGACCCGATATATGCCGTTACGAACTTATCGGCCATATCTTCAAAGGTTTCTATGGAATGAGCTGGTAGCTGTGACGTTAATGCTCCTCCCGTGAGGGTTTCGCCAAATTTTTTCAGCAAATCAAGGGACACTTGTTCCTTGGTGAGGTCGTTGCCCTTCACGGTGGTGACATGATGAGTTACGTAATCTTCATAGTCAGTTGTTCCGTCGTATATCCTAAGATAGAACGACATTTTGAAGGTCTTTGGTGTGGCATGTGGGGCCGCTCCTTTGCTATACGACTGCTCTATGAATCTACCGATATCTCTCTTTGGCAATAACTTAGGGGCCTCTGGAATCTTGTCGACTCGTTTTTGTGTTCTTTCATTTGATCTCTGAGCGCTTTATTTTCATTCTTTATTTCTTCCATCCTCTTTAGAACAACGGCGATGACATTGTCACCTGCATTGCCAGTAACATTGTGAGTTATACCTGATGTTGGAAGGTCTGGTTGGTCACCCTGTTCGTCCACTCGTTTCACTGTATGGGCTCTTGCATTCTCTATGGACGTATATGAAGCATGTGTGTTGAGCACTCTTACTAGCGTATTGGTCAACCATGCTTCGAGGAGCTTTTTCATGGCTGGTGGCGTACCCTCTCCTGTGGACGTGGAGGCCCTTTTTCTATTTGGTTTTATTATATTGCAATGGGAGGAGGAGACCTCTCGCGCCTGTGGGAGGCAATGGGTATCACGTCGTCGCCTAGCGTTTCACAGCTCTCGTTGATAGCGTTCATAAGGTTGCCAAGGAAGTCACTTGTCACTTTAGAGTTTAGTCCTATCTCCTTGGTTACCCGCCATGTAGGTTTTCGTACGCGCAAAGAAAGAGAAAGATCTTGTGGTTTGTTAGGTTAGTGACTCACGTGAGTTGTAGATCTAAAGGAAACTAAAAAAATTAGCTAAGAAGTCCCCATAGATGGCGCTAAACCTTTTGACCTAAAAATTTAGATCTGGATTCAACTAATTAGATTTAAGTAAAATAGAGTCAATCTTAGCTAATAATAATATTCAAAAGATAAGGTTGTTGGTTTTATGACGAATAATATGTATGTTTGTTCGAATGGTAATGAATGTGAGCAATAACAACAATATTCAATGATCCAAAAAGATGGAAGATAACATTAATTAAATTTTAATAAATAGCAATGGATGGTATTTATGTAAATAAGAACATATGAGTCACCCGAAAAGTGGTGGGATCTGTTGATATTCCTTCTGACAATGATGAATGATTGATGAGTATTGGAACATTCGGGTTGTTCTTGGATCAAGTGAAAAAGTTAGGCAAAAATCTTAGTAAAGGTGTTTTTCGGATGTTTTCAATATGGTCAGATTCCCTCAATAAAGTCAATGTGTATTCTTACAAATGGATAATTCCTGTCCGCTATCATTGTGTCTCTTTCTACTTACAGGGAACATATTTCTAAAATCCCTAATAGTATAGGTACATAGAATATCCACTAGAATATTCTCTTTTGTGTCATATTCTAAAACTAGCCGTTATAACCTTGTCTAGGATGCTCGATCTCGACCTTGATCCACGTCGATTTCTCGACTTTGATCCTTGCTGACTCTTTGATCGCAACCTTCATTGCTTCTGGAACCACTTTGATCTTGGGCGAGGCTTTATTGAAGTCGTACTGATAACATATGGCGGTATGTGAATGCCTCCTTAATGTTAACATGGTTTAATTCTATTAGAGATAATTTTTGACCCATACAAAAATATATTTTATAAATATAAAAATTTATTTAGTTCAGTTTACTGTATGAACTAAAAATTACCCTAATTATTAATTACGATAATAAATTTAATTAAAAAAATTAATAACTGGTTATTGACACCAAAGTACATACTATACTAGTACTCCATCCGTATCAATTTAGATGACCTAGTTTGACTCGACACGGAGTTTAAGAAATTTTTTTTTTTTTTTTTAAATTTGTGGTCTTAAAAGCTTAAGGGATAAAAACTTTGTAGGGCCATGACATTTATGTGGTTATAAAAGTTTTTTATTAAAAGTAAAATTTGTAAAATAAAAAATTTAAAATTATATTATTTTTAAATTTATAAATATATGATTTATTTTGAAACATAATAAAAAGAAAAGTAGATTATCTAATTTAAAAGGTAGAAAGTAATTCTTGAAAATTGCTCACGCAATTCGTGGGTTAGCGCTGTTACCGACTGATTTTATTGAAGTAAAAAATGATATCAGGAGAGCAGAAGGACATCGGAATTCGGAAACATGAAAAAGAGGACGTCGAGTTCTGTGTCTGTATTTTCAATGTCATGTGGTTTTTCTAGAAAGATACAAATGCTGGGCAGAGTATATCGCCATATACGTACCGCCACACGTAATGATGACTAAGCGTTGCACCTAACCCTTAAAATATTATTGGCACAGCAGCTGCTTTTCCTTCCTCCGCTTACTTCCTGGCTCTACTTAAATAGCCATCACTCCTCACACTTCAATTCAAATTCAATCGATGTGCCACTGTTTTGTTCACAAAAGATAAAAAGACACCGCTACCGCCACCGCCACCGCCGCCGCCGGCAGAATTCCTGAAGCTGCTCTTACGCCGCACTTCAACACTTACGCCTCTCCGTCTTCAAACGGTGCGTTCAATCACAAGCCCTAGTATGTTCTATTTCACAATTTTCAGATCTGTAGTCTTCGATCATTATACTTTTCGTTACCAGTTGTTTGATTCTTAATTAAGGGCTTTAGATTTTTAACATGCTTAAATTCGGGACGTAATATCACGGAGGTCTTAACACTTTCATGATTAGATTTTTAAACGTGCTGAAAGTGCTATCGTCCTTTTTATTCCCTCATTGTTGTTTACGTTGTTACAGGCATTGTTATTTTGACAAGCTCTATGAGCTGCTAAAAATAAAATGTTTATTGGAAATATACTGCATGTTTTCTCAGTGGAAGGTTAAATTATTATATAGGCAGTGAAGTTGTTAAAAGTTTTGACCTATACTCACGCTTACTTCCAGTGATATTCACTATCATCATTAACATGAAAATACACATTCCAACATGCATAAAAACATGTACATAAATATACACTCCTTTCTCTTTCAAAAATATTGGCATAGTTCGGAGTACGAGGATAACAGTAGATTTGGACATAAATTCTTCAATGTTTTGAAAATAAAATTTATATTTTCAAAAACTACATAAAAGTATTATAAGTCATAATTCAAAATATTTATAAAATGTTTAACAAAAACGTGATCAAAGAACAACCTCGTAGACTTCCCAAATAGTAATAATGCCAATCTTTTTGAAACAGAAAGAGTATGAATTATGTACATAGTCGCATAAGTGTCGACACACATGTTGACAAGAACAATAATTTAGAATTACAATCTATAAAGAAGAAATGAATACTAATTAGTAGTGGTAGTCATGAAAAGATTAACTAAGAAAATCAAGCTTAAGCAATGCCATTCTAGGAATAATACTTCACGCTTTATGAATATTTTTTGTGTGAGCATCTCATTGCTTTTCAAAGGTTGTAGTATTATATTTCCCTAAAATGTATCGACTCTCTATTATTTTATTAGATTTGTTTCTTTTTTCTTAAATATTTCTAAATTGTAATATGTTCAACACATGCCAAGGTTTGCTTTTATCTTAAATTATGCAATCTATGATTTATTCATTTTCCCCTACATATCCCGGAAAAAGAAAATCACTATTAAATAGTTAGACTGAGCCAAGTTGACTAGGAATGAAGTATGATAAATTGTGTTTCTAGGTTGACCCAATTAAAAATAATGAGTCAATGTAATTTTAGATCCATTCTAGGAAGATGTAATTGGGAATTGAAGATGGAACCAATCCATAGTATTTTGAGGTTAAGATGTGCATACTGAATATGGTATTGGAAACATATTATCCACTTTATTAGAGAAAGAGAAAATTTACTCCGATACTATCCAAAATTGCTTAATTTGGCTGTCAGTTACACTTTTGGTACACTTATAACCTTCCTATTAGTAAACTTTCTCATATTCGTCTTGCCATTAACAGAGCTCTAACGCAAAATGAGTGGATCCATGTGTCCAAAATTTTCTAAAAAAAGTTTTATTCATCAACTTTATGCTTTAAAATTATCTCAAGTTGGCGCTTTTTTAGTGCTCCCTTAGGGTTAAGGGAAAACATGACTTATACTAATGGTAGAAGTAATATTAGACCAAAGTTTAATAAAGGGTAAAGTTGCTCAATTTATAGTAGAACAACAAATTTAACCATTTCCCTTTAAAGAAAATGTGCGCTTTTCTCTTTTAAAACTGGGGACCAAAAACTTTACAGTTAAAAGTTTGATTAAAATTTTGATAGTATTTCTTGATATTATATTAACGCGATCAAGCGCATGAAATGTACACTAATGCATATAGATGGTTTTATCTGTATCTAATAATAGTGGTTAACTTTTAACACGTAGCAACCGTTACCCACTGATATTAAAGACACATATAAAGCCACTAATGAGAAGTACTTCTAAAAGTTTTAGCAAACCAAGAAAATAATTATTACGTGTATCTTTAGAAAATAATTAATTTGTAATTAGCACAATTCATTATTTTTAATTGGGACAGCTGAGAAGCACAATTTACTATACTTTACTCTGTTAGAATATTTGTTTTTTTAACTATTTGAATGCAAAATTTAATTTTTAGAAGGTGCAAAAGAGTAATGGCTAAATTATAAATTGTGTTATCTTAAAGATTTTGGCATTTCTTGAACATAAAACAAGTCAATAAAGAAACTCCTACAATCTACCATAGAGAGCCAATTCATTTGAGGTATGTATATATATTCCTTTGAAAAGAAATGAGATACTCACAAAAAAATATTTATAAAGTTGAAGTATTATTTTTAGTATGACGTTGCTTAAACATAGTTTAGTTTTCACTAATATCTTCTTATAACAAATCAAATTACTAAAAAATCAAGGTAAAATACATATTTTACCCATTGACCTTGTCCCCAAATCCCTCATTCACGCATGTTAAACACGGGAATAATGTTACACATCAAATTTTTTAAAAGTGTCTATTACATACCTCTTTTGCCATGTGTCACACACGCTTGTATCACACATAAAAGAGTCGCGTGAAAGCTAAAAAAATCATCTGACATGTGTCTATTCTATTACACACCTCTTCAGTTTTTTTTCTTGATTTATGACACGTGTCGGATGCTGATTGACGCGTGTAATTGCAATCCTTAAGAAGATGTGGTCAAGTATCGAAGTGGTGCGTAATAGACAAACCTTTAAAAGTTTTGGTGTGTAATATTATTTCCGTGTGTAAGAGGAATTTGGGGACAAAATCGACGGGTAAAGTAACTTTGTTAATTTGTTGAAATTAGACACCGATGGCCTATTTGACTATCACAATCCTAGTATACATTCCTAGAGAAGAACTAACAAATGGTAGCAGTTTAAATTGAAAATGCAGGGTTCTCCACAAGTGATTAAATCATCAAGTTGTGGGAGTAGTCCCCTTTTGAATCCTGAGAAATTGGGATGGATATCACGTGAAGCCAAAGTTAGTGTCTTCCGTGTTTTGACTATAATATTCGCCATTATAATTATCAAAATCATTTTCTTTTTGATATAACATGAAAACAACATGCAAACATGAATGAAAATATTGTCACATATGTATCAATATACATATTGACAAGAACAGTTCTATAGCATCACAATATGGAAATGATGTGAGATAAATAATAATTAGTGATTAAGAAGAATACTGAAGAGTCAACCAAACTAAAGAAATGTCACATTAAGAATAACAAGTCATGCTTTATGAATGTTTTTGTGTGAGTATCCCATTGCTTCTCAAAAATTATAATTTATACAGATCTCAATAATTAATTGGCTCTCTAATATGTATTATTATTATTATGCCTCAAGAAAAGAAAAACAATCAGAATAGTTAGAATGAGATATTTTGACTAGGAAATAAAGTATGACCAATTTTGACTAGACACCTATGGCCCTAGGGCGATAGTTGAAAGGATAATGGGCATGATTAAATGCTTGTAGAATTAGTGATTGATCAAGATGAAATCTGTCAATTATTGGTAATGAGTTTAAGCTCCATGTTGTTATGGATTATAAACGACCAAACTAAGACTTTGGCCAGGGCAATTGAATGAAAGAAGAAAAGAGTTTCTTAGGTCATTCAATGGTCAATTATATTTGATATGAACACATAGTTGGTCGCCTATTAGGATTTGAGAGTAAATTGTATACTTCATTCTATCCAGTCGTTAAGGAGCAGTGGCGGAGCCAGGATCTCATCGAAGGGGGTTCAAGAAAAACAAATCGTAGCTAGTGGGAATTGAACTTATTGACCTTTCAAAGATTTTGAACCCCTTTGACCACTAAGCTACACTTTCGGGTTGTGTCAAGGAGGTTCAAAACTTAATACATAGAGGTAAAAAACCGATTTTGCCTTATATATATAGTGTAATTTTTCGGCGAACCCCCTTCCGCCCCCCTAAATCCGCCCTTGTTAAGGAGTGTTGCTAGACGCCACCCTTGATTAGTATATTGATATTATTAATTTACTACCGGCTTAGTATTGAACCTATGGGGTCGCACATTAACGAGTGTTCTGATCTTTGCTAAAGGATTAATTACTTTATTATTTGATAATTAAGTTAAAGAATTTAATTAGTCAAATAAATTTAGTTATTAGTCCAAATGAAATATTATTATATTCTTTGCTAGCACAAAGGATATAATTAATATTGTGAACAAATTAAAGTTTTCTATTTGGAATATAAAATTAAAACATATCTCTTGGTTGAACTATATATATAATTAATATTTATATATAAAGATATATAAAATGTTAAGAAAGGACTTATAAGTTAACCAACTTTGAATTGGATTAATGAGAAAGTCCATAAAGGGCGTGTAGGCTATCAGAATCCCACGAGTAATGGAATTAGTATTTTCCTATATAAAATTGTAAAAGTCCAATTTAGAACTTGGGTCTTTCGGTTCCTTTTCTTTCAAGTTTAGACATAAACTAAATCAACGTGACCAACACAGCTTCGCAAAACCAACAGAGATATCGAAAGAGTCAAGTAATACTCTTAGCAAGAAAATTAGCTTGGTCTTTCACGTCTAGGCTAAGTTTTTTGAGAAAAACTGTAGTACAATATTTTCATACAATTTGTTCGCGGGTTTCATTAATCAAAGAGTTGATAGCAAGATCGGTCTCGGTGTGGATACACATAGAGTTTCGCACTATCGAAGAAACTTTAAAACGACTCTGTTCACCAGGTACGTCTTAGATCTGATCTTTGACATATAAATAAATTTTAAATACGAAAAGATGTTTATAGGATTGTTATTGTCTTCCGCTGCGTGTTATGAACATCTATATGAATCCTTTAGGTTAAGGGACTACTCGAATCTCGAGAGATTAGGATCAACATCACGTATATCCATAAACTATGTCTTTTAGAGCCAAAGTCAATTTATGACTGTTTTAAGATGAAAACATAAATACCGACAACATGCTTAAAAACATATTAGGAAAATAAATTGCTACTAAAATGCAATATAATCAAACGCATTATTCATATCAAAAGGCAAAATGCCATCGGTCGATTTAATTTTCGATTCTCACATGCATTTTTCGAAAACAATGAATATCAAGTTAGAGAAATTTGTTATTTTTAACTTGGGCAACTTGGGTGCAATTTACTATACCTTCTTGATTAGAATGTCTCATTCTAACTATTTCAATGCAATTTTCTTTTTGGGAAATACAAGAGAAATGATTAAATTACTGATTGCATTATTTTAAAAAAATGGAGGCTAACCTTGACAGGTCTTGAACATAAGCAAGTTAGAAACAACAGAGGAACACTTATAATCCATGCTAGAGAGTAAGTTCATTATAGGGAGGTTCATATATATTACGACCTTTGAAAAGTAACGAGATGCTATTACGATATCATTCATAAAGCGTGAAGTATTTATTGTTTCTAGCATGGCGTTGGTTAAGTTGATTTTGTCTTCACGATTCTTGACAAGGCAAAAATAGTGAAATGGAAAATACAAAATATATAAAGTAAAATCTTACAGACTTTTTTGAAATTGGATGTTGATGTCCTATTTCAACATAGTTCTCACAAAATGATATTGACTATCCAAATTCTTCTATACATACATAGAGCAAAATTAACCGTCATAGCAGTTAAAGTCGAAGATATAAAGTTCCTTTCAAGTAATTAAATCATTTTGTGTTGTAGGAGGAGTTGTCTTTTCTTGAATCCTATTGATTAAAGAAAGTCTTTTCTTGATTCTCAGAAAAAGGTTCAACGCCATGCACGGTCTTCTTGTGTCTTTGAGAGCCACGTTACATTGACTGAAATATTCACCAACTTAATTACCAAAATCAATTTATGACTAATATAATATGAGCGTACATTCCAACAACATGCATAAAAAACATATATACATATCCATGCATACTTGCGAAAATTATGTACATTGTCACATATGTATCTGGATACATATTTACAAGTACAATAATATAGAATTACAATATAGAGAAAAGGATAGATGCATACTAGTTGTGGTTGTCATGAGAATAATACCGAAAGACCAAAATTTTGTTTAAGCAATGGGATGTTAGAAATAATAATTCACGTATTATGAATGTTTTTGCGTGAACATCTTATTGCTTTTTAAAGATTGTAATTTATACACTTATCTATAATTAAACGGGTTCTCTTGCATGAATTATAATTGTTTCATTTTTATTATTATTGTTCTAACTTGTTACAAGGTCGGCCTCCATGTTAAAATTTTGCAAGATTCAGTTGACTCTCTTGCTTGCCTCCAGGAAATGAATCGCATTCAAATAGTTCTCTAAATAATTAGAGCTAGATAGTTTGGCTAGGAAATAAATTATGGTAAAATTTGTTTCCAAGTTGACCCAATGAAGAAAGTTAGCCTAAGTTTATATCCGTTGTTTTTGGAAGATGCATGTGAGAATTGAAGATGAACCGATTCATAGTATTTTGCATTAAAAATATCTGCAATATTCTATTATTGAAGATGAATAATAATATTTCTCATTATTTAATGTGACCGGCCGTATGAAATGTATATTAACGAACACAAGTAGTTTAATCTATATGTATATTAGTAGGTTCTTTGGGTGTTTGGTAATCTTTTCCGGCATTGGAGTGAAATGAGTCTAAATTGAGCAGAATGAATATTGAGGGCTCCATCCGATTTACTTGGAATTGATGCGTAGTTGCTGGAATCATAGGGTTGGAGAGGGGTTGGGGTTTTGAATTTTGTGCATTTATTAACACATTTTGGGAAATAAATGATTGGACCAGTGAGGTTGTGTAGCAAGGTTGGCTCACTTTATAAATTCATCACTTTCAGAACTGTGTGTACATAGTTGGTGAGATGTATTGCTATGAGCGATTTACTGATCTATAGTTGGAGGCTTAATTTCTAAGCTTTGGCTGAAGAATTCCATCCATCTAAAACAGTGGCGGACCTGTGCTTGTACAAGCGTATCCAGTTGAACACTTGTCAAAATCTTTTACTAATTTTATGTGTAAATTATTGTCAAACCATGAAAAAGTTGTTTAACAGATGTTGAATCCACTTGACATTGACAAAAAGGAAACTTTTGGAGCAATGTTCAAGCGGGGTCATGATATGCCCCGGGGCTTTATGACAACATTCTTGCCAACTCTAATGCATTTATGGTAACGGAGATTTCAGTTGAGAAGATATTCTTGGCTCAAAAGGTAACATCCAAGGGTATTCGCTCTTCAACATGCCAAAACATAAGTGTTATGCAAGGAAAGTGATTGTCTTGTAGCGATACACTGCATTGGAGCTGCTTCTGGGATCAAGATTGTTACAATCAAGTGATGGCTTTTGACTCATGCTTTTTGGAGTTTCGATTGTTCCAACTTCCAAATGGGTAACAGATAAATGCTTCTCTTGTTCTGCTGAATCATTTTCCGGTTTCTAGAGAGGGACTCATGACTATGCCTTCCCATATTTCTTTGTTCTTGAAACACCTCGCTTTTACTAGAGATTTTGGGATTAAGGCATACTTATTGTTGTATTCGCTTTCAAATTATCTTGGCTAAAGTAGAGTTATTTCTCAGCTTCCATTTCATGTTTCATGAAATTATTGTGTATTTGATCGGTACATGTGTTTTGTCAGCTGCCAAGTTGTACGTATTCATGACACTTGAGAGTTTGGAAATGCCCAAAGATGTCGGTTCTCAACTTTCATTTCGTATGTATATGACATGAATATATAATTGGTCATCCACAACTGCTAAATATTCGATTTGTCGTAAGGAGTAAAATTATTTGTTTCTAATATATATTTTTTGTTGCAAAAGCTTTAGTAATATGGCTATGTCACAAAAACTTCTCTAGGCTCAACCAGCCCGAAAGTAGTCTTAACATGAAGTGATATTGTGCGTTTTGGGTCAAGTCTGCGTGGTTTCTCCCAAAACACAGTAGTCTTAACATGAAGTGATATTGTGCGCTTTGGGTCAAATCTGCATGGTTTTTCCCAAAAGACTTCGTATCATTTAAAGATTTTTACATTTTATATGTGAGTTTTCAATCTTTTCAGCTATCAATATAGGATTTTGTCTGCACATCCAACAACTTTTGTAGCAATATAGCTAATTATTAGCTATGTGCATGTTAATCACTGGTTAAAGTGTTAAATCACGAAAATTCTACAATCATAGCCTGTTTGGCCAAGCTGCAAAAATCAGCTTATTTTGAGAAGTTTTTTTTTTTTTTTTATGATAAGTGCTTTTTTCAAAAGTATTTTTGGTGAGAAGCAGTATGTGTTTGACTAATTTATTTGAAAAGCAATTTTGAGCAGCAATTAGAGTTTGACCAAGCTTTTAAAAACTGCTTCGTATTTTTCTCAAAAAATGCTTTTCAAAAAAAGTGCTTTTGAAGAGAAGTTATTTTTTTCTGCTTCTCCAAAACTACTTGCTTCTACTCAAAAATATTTTTTTTTTCCTCTAAAAACTTGGCCAAATACTTTAACTTTGAAAGCAAAAAGCACTTATTTTAGAAGATTTATGTTGTATATGCATATATGATGTTTTAGTACGCTATGATGGAGAAAATTACTACTAATTTGGTTTACCGATGCCATAAGTTAGTAGGTAAAAGAAATTCTTGGATTCTCCGCTCTGTAGGGAAATTAATGCATAGGCGATCTGGAGTTTTTTGGATTCCTAAAATTCTGTGGGGAAAATAAGAAATGCTATCACGATGACATGGAAATAGCATTTTTAATTAACTAGTTAAATTAACCGCGCTTTGCGCAGTCAAATCAAGTTAAAAGAAATAACACTTTCTTAACACCAACAATTTAATTTTTTTTTGTAAGACATGCGTATGAGAAAGTTAAAATAGAAAAGAAAATCCATATAAAAATCATCCCAATTATAACTTCTTGCAATTTTATAAATTAGGCCTTTGAACCCTATGTTGCTTGTAAACAATATTATTTTAATTACGGTAGATAATAATATACATTAGCGATTGTATTTAGAGGCAAATATTGGTCGTACGTGATATTAATTATTACAAACAATATTTTGTAATATTTGTTCCTACTTAATTTTAAAGTAATTTTAATCTATTTTATTATTAACACTTATTTTTTTATTTTTTTCTAATTTTTTATCATGTAAGGGTTTTCGTCATCTAAAAATTTTTATTTTTTGTATAACCTATATAGGTAAATCTATAAAATTTGTCCGTTAGAACATGTAAAGTATTTATATGCATGTGTTTAATAAGTGTTGAAACATGATTTTTTCTTTAATATATGTACAGAAGTATCTAATTTTTTTCTTTTAATGAAAGAAATAAATTTTTATGGTCTTATGATTCGAAAATCCACAAAATCAATTTTGATAAGTCTTGTCTATAATTATTTTTTCTTTAACTTCCTAACTGGCTCGCTTATTATTTTCAAAAAAAGAATGTTAAATCTCTCTTTTTCTAGTAACATAATTTTTTTTTGTTTTTTGGATAGGTCTAAATTCTTCTATAATTTACGTCCATACATATCAAGATAATATGAAAACACCACCTAGTCAAAAGTAAAAAGACAGAGTAAAAGAGAACTAATTTTTTAGTCCTACAAAGGAACTTACTTGATGTTCTTGTAAAATGTAGCAAATACCAGTGGAACATGTTGCTCCAAAAATCACAACAAACTTTAATAAGCAAACAAATAATCAAATGCTCATCACGCATTTGTTCAAAAGATAAGTCAATCATCGTTCATCAGAATTAGCAAATCATTCAATTCAGTAATAGAAATTTTAGCTTCATAGAGAAAATTAATAAATTCAAAAAGAAAAAATGAATTGCCCGCTGAAATACTTTTCAAAATTTGTGTCACGTAGAACAATGGATTGGGTAAGATGTATGGGAACTTATTCTGTAACTGGAATATTATGTAACGATATCTAATAGAAAAAGGGAATTAATAAGGTTATAATAGAAACAATTTGTAAAATTTGAAATAGAATTCAACGGGATAAAAGGAAATAAGGGGAAAAGTTGAAAAAATCTGAGAAATTAGATAAATATAAATCTAACAAATACTTGAGCAATCCTTTTTATTAATAAGTACTAAGGAGCATGAAACCTACTAAGTTTTCCTAAATAACACTTACTCAAGGTAAATTCTTTTGGCAGAAAACTTGGTACTACTTCGGAGATGATGAAGAAACATAATTGCGTAGCACTGTTCCTAAGTAATACATATAAATTAAGTTGCAAAAAAACTTTTGAAATAGGAAGCAGAAAGAAAATCAAGGATAAAAGACGCATACTATCTGAAAGTTGAAACGTTCGCATCATTCGAGGAACGATAGCAACTTGTCATGTTAATATCTATAGATATGGATCTACACGTTATCGGACAAAGCAAACAAATTAAGAGTTCTTATAGATTCCTGCTCTAAACGTCGAGGTTCTAATGTGTTTTTCCCAACAGTTACAATCCATAACTGTAAAAAGGTGAGTATTGAAGTTTTAACATAGCAATGTTTTTTAAAAGGTGCGTAAGAAGAAAATGGCAAAGATATATATAAAACTTGGGATAGGAGAGTGCCACCTCACCTCTTTTTGTATACAGATTTCACTAATATCACCCCAAATGGGATGTTAGAAATGGTCCACAATAACGTTTTATCCTCCGGTTTGCTTTTTTCACCATACAAACATAGATTTTGTGCATTACATTTACACGTATAATATTCCAATTTCAATATTCGCTCATTTATTATAATTTAATCTCTTGATCATTAAGAGTGACACGATAGCTTGTTAAGTATGTACTAAAGTGAAACACCAATTAATATTTCTTTTTGAAAGTTGACTGTGTTGCAGCATTTTTATTTGTATTTTCAGCCTACTGATATAGGGTATTTGGTGTCGGGATGGTTTGAAGGATACCCAAGGGGCTCAAGTGAATATTGGCGCGTATGGAGCAAATTTTTGAGATTTGAAGTGTTAAGCGTGATTTTCTGCACTTTGCTTGATTCACAAGAGAATTGATCGCAATCTTTATAGAATTTGGGGATGATTCAAATTGAAAGTTGTATCCCTTTGAATCTAGTTTTCAAAAATTTAAATTGTTCGTCATTCCGACATCCGCACGAAAAATTATGACTGTTTTAGTAAAAGAAGGGCAATATTGTTATTCTGAAAATTTGCACTAAAAAATTCTGCACTTATGTATATAATCTCATTCAGTACTTGGACATTATTTTATTATTTTAGAAGTTAATGAACTGAGGCAATTTTTGAAATGATTATCACTCAAATCTATGATTATAACATGAATTTAACGTCAATTTTGCTTTAGAACCAAGGATTCAAAAGTGAAAAAGAGAGCTTTTGACTTGAAGGTTAAGAAAGTATATTTTGAGATTTAACACCAATTTGGACTCGAATGTCAAGACCCAGAACTATGTGACCGGCACCGGCACACTATCCAACTCGGATAAACCAAACTGTATAAGAATGCCCATCTATATGCAAAATAAATGCATGCGGAAGCCTTTTTGAAAACAAAATCATTTTAAACGATTAAAACTATACATGAAACAAAATCTTTAAATCTATCATTTTCTATAATTGAAAAATATGAAAGAATAACAATATTTTTTTCATGCATGCCATATGAACAACTCTCGATTACAACTCCAAAAGAATAACAACTGTCTATGGAATCTCTAAGACACAAGGATGAAATAAATACTTGGGACAAACCCTAACCAAAAGTAAGTAAGACCAACATGAAGGCTACCACAGAATAGAAGTGGCACCTTGCTATATGTCGCGGAAAGAGAGTCATCCTAGCCTCATCCGCTCATCACGTACCATGTCTCATCCTGAAAATATGTAACGTAAGGACCCTGGAGAAGGGCCCCTTGATTGACCCAAAATTTAGATCCGGGTTCAACCAATTAGATTTAAATAAAATAGAGTCAATCTTAGCTTATATTCATATCCAAAAGACAAAATAACCAATTTTGTAGTAGATAAAATATATGTTTGACCGAAAAGCAGTAAATGTGGACAACACTAACAATATTCAATGACCAAAAAGGTGGAAGATAGCATTAAATAATAATAAATGACAATGAATGACATTCAAGTAAATAAGAATATGTGAATCACCCGAAAATGGATAAGATTTGCAGATATTCCTTCTGACAATGATGAATGATTAATGAGCCTTCGAATATTCAAGTAGTTCTTGGATTAAGTAGAAAAGTTATGCAAGGATCTTAGTGAAAAGGTATTTCTCGTGTGCTTGCAATAAAGCCAGATTCTCTCTATAAAGTCAATGTGTTTTCTTACAAGTGAATATCTTATGTCCCCTATCCGTGTGTCTTTTTCTATTTATAGGAAACATATACCTAAAATACCATAATAGTACAGGTGCAGAGAATATCCACTAGAATATTCTTCTCTGATGTCTTATCCTAAAACTAGCCGCTATTCATTCTATTTACGGTGAGTGCTCGACCTCGACCATGATCTTCTCTGACTTTTCGATCTCGATCTTTGTTGAGTCATCGACCTTGGTCTTTAATAGCTTTATCGACCCTGCCCTTTACTTCTTAAGAGATTACTTCGACGTCGGGCAAGCCTTTATTGAAGTCGTACTGGCGACACGTGGCAGTCTGCGAGTGCCTGTTTAGTGTTAGCATGGTTTGATCATGTCAAAGGTAATTTTTGACCCACACATCCCTGAGGAATGAGTATACTACCACGGTAG